GAAGGACCGGCACCCCCGGGGGCAGACGGGGGGGGGGAGGACCGGCACATGGGCATGCTGGGCGGAGGGAAGGCACAGAAAGCCTCGGGGTAGACCCACCAAGGGACACCGGTTTTGCACCCCAGGTTTCCTTTCCGATGCCTGACATCCAGATCCACATGCCAAGCCACCTTAGCTAGCCAGTAAAAGCCAAGGAGCGGGGTTTGGCCTAAGCCCGGCGCTCAAAGGAAATTTGGCACCTGAATCTGGGCCATAGAGAGGCGCTTGTCTCTGCTCGGGACTCCCCTCTCCTGGAGCCGCGCACCTACACTGCTTCTTGCAAGAAACAGGAGGAGGTGTCCCCTTAGGGTTCAGTCCCCCTGACGCGGAGAAGGGATTTGAACTTGGGTCTCCCCGTCTGGCAGGTGAGGTCCCTAACCACTGGTCTGTGGGGTGTTTGGGGCCGTTCCCCCGTGACTGGAACCGGGGTCTCACATCCAGCTGAGCGCCCTGGCTGCTGGAGTCATTCTCACTCTGAGACGTGCATCGTTACACATTTGTACACAGACTCTGTCTGAGTCTTTCTTCCGCTTCTCTTCCAGACCTACGCCAGATTCACAGGCGCGCCGCTCAAAGTTCACAAGGTCACTAACCCGTGGCGAAGTCCCTCAGGTAAAGGCACCTATGAGAACGGGGGAGGGGCATGTGGGGGATAGAAATAAACACGTGGCACACAGGTGGCTATTGGAGCCGTCACAAGCCACTGGAAAGTAGGCAGAGATTATCTCCCTTTTACAGGTGGGGAAACTGAGGCATGGTGAGGTGCCCAAGGCAAACTGGCGGGACAGCCAATATCAGAACTGAGGAGTGCTGGTGCCCAGCTTCCCTTGAGGCTGCTGGGCTGCACTGCCTTTAAACAAAGCTTTCCATTTAAGTTCCCCATTTTTTTTTAAGGAGGCAGGCAAACAAACAGCTCCTCTTTCCTGACTTCACGGCCCTGCCCCGGGGCGGGGGGACATTCTCCCTTTTGGAACTCAGCTGTCAGAGCCGCCCAGAACCCTTGCCAGAGCTGACAGCTCTGCGGAACTCTGCGACCAGCTGGCCCAACATGGCATTTGTTACTTCTGAATCCTGTCGCCACATCTAGCCTGGAGACTCCTCAGCAGGGGCTAGCCACATGGAAAGTTCATGTGTGAAGTCCAGCCAGTTCCGAGCTGTCCATGTGCAAAATCCATTTCACCCTGGAATAAGTCTCAATGCCAGACCAGTTCAGGCTTCCAAAAGGAAGTCACCGCGTGGGCTGAGACCAAACATGGAAAGCCTGAACGCCACTGGGGCACATGAAAACAAAGGAGTCTCTTGCAACCCATGTGCGATGCTGGCACCCGCACCAGGATCCCCAGTGAGAGCAGATGGGGCTGGGGGCGCTCGCTGCGTGCAGGAGGCCCATGAAGGGGCAGCTCTGGGCAGGGTCTCCCCTGTATTCCCTTTCTCTGCTTTCAGGGTGTTTACCTGCTCTGAAGACGAAGGAGGAAGGTGTCCTCTCCCAGATGCACCAGATCATCACTCACCTCAGGAAACAGGTATGGGATGGGGACATGGACTCAGGCCCTGCTGCCCCAGAGCCAGAGGAGACAGTCACGTGCCCCCTGCGGCTCAGGCCTATAGGGGGTGGGAGTTGGGGAAAGCTGAGAGTGGAGTTGCTGATGGAAGTAACCGGGAGGGCTTGCTGCAGTGGGTGGGAAGCCGAGGCATGGGTGAGCAGGGAATCCCAGAGCCTGTAGGAAGCGACCCTTGGGAGGGGGCTCAGCAGGGTCTGCAAAACCCAGCCAGTGGAAGCATTGTGTTACGCAGTTGCCACAGAGCCTTGCCCATGGACCGATGCAGAGACATCTGGCTGGTTCTGCAGTCAGACAGTCTGGACTAGGAGAGGGGTGAGAACTGCCAAAGGCCCAAAGCCCAGCTCAGCTCCCCAGATCCTGACCCATCTCCCCCGAGCAGCACATCTGTAGTGGCCCTGTCACAAGAGGATCCCTGTGTGGCCATGGAGGAGAGGGCAGAAGATGCAGGGGTCCCCGCCAGAGAAGCCCCTCTGTCCCTGTGTGCTAGTTTCACCCTTCGGAATTGCTCTGTGTCTGGAACTTTTGTCTGAGGACTCAGTTCTTCCCCTCCTGTCTTCCCTGCCCCCAAGTGCTGAGGCAAGTAGGGTGGTTTGCCTGGGGCTGGCTAGCTGTGGGGAGGAGCACAAGTGGCTCCTTTGAGGCCTGAGGGAAGTGTCAGTCTGGGGACTCGGGCGGCTTTCAGACGCCAGGGTGTGTGCCAGCCACGCCGCTATTCAGGCTGCTCCCGGCTCTGGTGGAAATAGGCCGGCCTGGTGCCAACTTTCCTTGGAAAGGCTGGAGCCGCCCCCCTTCGCCGCTTGCACCCTCCATCCCAGACTCTGCCTCGGCCCCAGCTTTCCTCTTCGGGTCATGCGGCAGCGCAGGCGAGCACAGCCGCAGCCAGTGTGCTCTGAAAGGGAACAGGCTTCCGGCCAGGTTAAACACACCAGGCGGTGCTCGCTGCAGGGCTGGCCGGAGTCTCCCCTTGAAAGATGTAAGGGGGGCAGGCGGCCTGTGCATTGGGCTCCTGTCCACGCACCTCCCCCCCAGCCCGTCGATACTGCTTCCTGGGGCGTCTCTGGAAGTCCAGACTAATGTGAACACGGTTCAGCTTTGGTAAAGCTGGGTCTCTAAAGGGAACACGTCTCCTCAAAGCAAACAGCCGGGCGGATGAGCTCTGACCCCAGGCTCCTGGAGTCGGCCGCGCATCAGCGTTAGGAAAAACCCAGGCATGGGACTTAGTGCCTGGAAAAGCGTCTGTCTGTGAAGGGAACTTGCCTGGGGCTAGTGTCCCACCCCCTCCCCCCCCGGCCTCTAGTACCCAGACAGGGGCCCCGTAGCCGTGTCTGTCTCTGCAGTTCATGGGGAGGGGGCTGGAGCACAGGATGAGCCCGATCGCCACTTCCAGCCCAGGCCTCACACTGTTCCCTTTACTCTGTAGAAATACAATGCTGACTACGACCTCTCTGCGAGACAAGGGGCAGATACACTGGCCTTTGTGTCTCTGCTAGAGGAGAAGCTGCTGCCCGTGTTGGTGAGTGCTCGCCTGGGCCAGTGGGAATGTTCCCGGAACACTGCTATGGGAGGAGCTAGTTCAGAATTCAGATGGATTCTGGGGACGGTCCCTCACAGTGAGTGACTGAGGCGTATCGGCAGATCCCGGAACCGCAGGGTGGAAGCTGGAGATTGGGATTATGGTGCAGTGACAGAGCTGTGCGAGGATCGGGGTTGGGGGGGTCTGGGGTAGCAGACTGTCTCGTAGGGCACTGCAGAAAGCAGCCCTGCACTAGTTCTCGCGGATCACCACTGTCCTCGTGCCGTAGATTCACACGTTTTGGGTAGACGCAAAGAACTATGTGGAGCACACGCGGAAATGGTATGCGGAAGCCATCCCCTTCCCGCTCAACTTCTTCCTGCCCAATCGCATGCACAAGCAGCGTCTGGAGCGGCTGCAGCTGGTCTGGGGGGAGAGCTGCTTGGAGGACGAGGAGGAGCTGGAGAAGGAAGTGAGTGGGCTGGAGGAATAGCTAAGCTCGGCTGTCATGTTGGTTCTGGGGGGAAGGATTCTGGTGACGGGCACTTTCCGTTTGCAGCTCTTGCAACCCTTGTGGCAGCTGGGAGGGCTGGCTGGGGCTCCTGGGAATCCATCACCCTGCCCCTAGATGGAAGCAACATGAGGGGTCACCCCGTCCCCAGCCGCTGGGCATGGCTCCTGGTTCCCGCTGGATTAGAACAGAGCCAGCTCCAAGGGGGCACTGAGTTTAACCCTTTTGTGCCCAGCCCCAGAATGCTCTGTGGTCGCTGGCTGTGACGCAGAAGCTGGCAAGGGCAGGTCAACCAGTGGCTTTGCTCCCAGTAAGGATGACCTTCGCTCTCTTTGCTGGCGTTCTTGGACTGGAGATAGCTCAGTCTTGGGACATGCCTCCTGCACCTCGTGTGCTGAGGTGATGTGACACCAGCGCTGCTTCTCTCCTGCTCCCGTAGATGTACCGCGAAGCCCGGGAGTGCCTGACGCTCCTGTCTCAGCGCCTCGGGGACCAGAAGTTCTTCTTTGGAGACTCGTAAGTGGCTCGTGGAGAAACGTTCTTTGTGGGGGGAAGCGAGGGCTCTTTCCTCACTTGCCTGCACGTGGCTCTCACGCCCCTGCCTGGCGCTGATGGCTGGGAGCAGAACGTCGGAGCAGAGGGGTTCTTGGCGTTAAGTCTCAGGTCTCCTTGCAGTTCCCCAGCGTGCTGTGACACGGGCCTCGGCAGCCCTTTGAAAGAGCTCTGGGTATTGCAGAGAAACCTCGGAGGCAATTAAAGCGAAAGGGGGGCTGCGAGCTGGGCTGAATAGTGTCTCTCTAATGGAAGGCAGGGCCCCAGGGAGAGGGCAGTTCCTTGCAGCCCATTAGGCTCCATCCGTTCCCACTGCCGTCCCGACAGTTCCCCTTCCTCTCCCGTAAAACTGAGAGCCAGGACCAGATGTTCCAGCACTTCAGCCACGGCCTGCGTAGGAAGTTTTAGCCCATTAGACGGCTGCCTTGTTTGCTTCATGTTTAATGGGCTCATAATTTATGAAGCTATAAACGGTAATGGCTGAATATGCTGCTTATTCCCTTCCAAAGAACCAGCTGCGGTGAGCAGGAATCAGAGGAGACAAACACTTATTCAAGCGCTTGCTGAGAAGCCGCCTCCTGCCTTTGGTGACCCAGCACCTCTGGCATTCAGGCATCTCCAGGATTGCCTGCAAGAGGAGTTGTGAGCTCCAGCAGCCCTACCCAGCTCCCAGCAGTACCGTCTGCTGGGACAGGCCAAGATGAGCGTAGCTGGGCTCACCACCCACAGCCAGCACTCCTGCTCTGCTCCCTGCATGTTGGGATTGGAGTAGCAGGGAGAGGAGCAGCCTCAAGGGCTCTAGGTAATTTGGTCATGCCCAGCGCATACAACAGTTGGACCCTAGTGACGGTGTGAATTTGAGCCAGCCTGTTCCTACGGCCTGGGGTCGTGTGTTCCCAGTGCTGAGGGTCCTGGGCCGCTGGCGCTAGCAGAGGCCGGGAGCCACTAGCAAAGCTCTCTGTGCCGCAGCCCTGCTTCCCTGGACGCGTTCGTCTTCAGTCATCTGGCGCCTCTCCTGAAAGCCAAGCTGCCCAACGGGAAACTGCAGCAGCACCTGAAGTCCCTGCAGAACCTGTGTGACTTTTGCTCCTCCATCCTCAGCCTCTACTTCCCCTGGGATGGAGGTGAGCAGCCAGGCCTCCAGCCTCTCCTTCGGCGCTGGGAAGCTGGGGGTCAACTGGAATCACTGAAGCAAGGTCACAAAGATGGGGGAAGATGCGAACAGGCTTGAACCATGCCTCAGACCCCACTAGCCACAGGCTGAGGCTTGCTAGCCCACGGCAGATCAGGAGAAGTGGGGCAGTGCCTTGGGGGGGGAGCTCAGCTCACCTGGACTGCTCCACTCCTGGCTGCTGTGTGTGTGTGGGGAAGGGGGCAGGACTGGACTTCCCACCAGGTGTAACACAGGGAGCGCTCTGTGTCGGCCATGGTGGGGGCATCTCCTGACACCCTGCTGGCTGTAACTGGGGTCTAGTGAGGATGGGGAGCGCCCCCCGTCCGGCTCTTGGAAAAGGAGGGGCAGCTTCCCCCAGGCTCTCTTTTTAATCCCCCTGCTGCTTTCGGACCCCTGCCCCGACCATTCCCTGTTCACCCTGTTCCCCAGCAGCAGTGCCCCTCCCTCCCCTGAACAAGGCTGCCCCCGCTGTCTGCCCTCTGGGCGGGGGTGCACTTCGCCAGCTGGGTCTGGGTTTCTGACCTGTCGTTTCCTTGCAAGGGGACGCCCCGTCCAGCGCCCCCAAGACGTCTGCCTCCGAAGGGACTGAGTCTGAGGAGGATCCCTACAAACGGCGCAACCAGATCTTGTCGGTGCTGGTGGGACTGGCGGCGATGATTGGCTATGCCTTCCTCAGCGGGATCGTCTCCATCCAGCGGGGCCCTTCTGGGGCTGCTGGCCCCCGGTCAATAGCCATGGAGGAGGAGGAAGAGGAGGAGGAGTGAGGCGCTGGTCTCAGGGCTTTGGTTCTCACTCGTCTCAGTATCACTTGAACTGACTCTTTTTTTACAGTGCTGGGTACTGCCTAGTCTGATTCCTGCAAACTGCCTCTGTGTCCCGGCAGGACCCAGTGGCCCTGTACAGTCCAGATCTCGGCGCTGCTACAAACACCAGTCCAGATTTCTAGACTGTGTCGCAAGCAGTCTGCCCCCCACTAATAAACCTGGAGCACCCCCTGATGGGCATCTGTCTGTGCTCTCTGTCTCTCCCCCCTGCAGCCCTGGGCACAGAGCCTGCGTAGCGCTGGGCTGCTCGGCCCTTGTGGACCAATGCGCTGGGCCCTCAGTCTCTACCCAGGCAGACCATCCCCACGGGGGCACACAGGACAAAGCAGCATGGAAAGGGAATCTTGGCTTGAAGCTGTCCCTGCTGAGCTCTGCCCCACAATTCCCTGGCTACCCCCAAGACAGCGGGAAGGATCCTTTTGGCTTCACATCCAGCTCCGATTCCATCTCTCCGTCCCCGGAGGGCTGTGTCGCGTGCAAGAGCCTGCCCCTTTCCAGGACGGGGAAGCCGCAAGTGGAGGGGCCTGGCCTAGAGGTTCACAGTGACTCTGCCTAACTGCTGGGCTCCTAACCTGGCTCTGCCGGCAGCTCTAGCCCTAGGATATGAGTTGAAGCTTCAGCTTCTGGGCCAGCAGCCAGAACCGGCCCTCGGGGAGCTGCCCTGAGATTGCCAGCCCAGGTCAGAGCAGTGGGGCTCAGGGAGAGCAGGGGCCATTGGGGAACATTTCTCGCACGTCACTTAGTGGGTAGGGCACTTGGTATCTGCAGCCGGCTGTTCTTGCTGTCCAGTCAGACCTTGGACCCTCGCCTGTAGCATTGTGCACCTGGGGTTAACTGCCCACGGGACGAGCCTGGGTCTTGTATTGTAGGACGGGAACTAGGAGACTCCATTTGCCTTCTCTCACCTATTCATTGTTTGTTCTCCCTCAGTCACGGCCTCTCCCAGCCCAGAGGCCCCAGTTGTTTCAGTCTCTCTAGGAGGCTGATTGCATCCACGGCTCGGCTCTGGGCCCCGTCTGTCCCGCCGTATCTGCTGAGGGAGAGCAGCTGGGACTGAGCACGGCACCCAGGGAAGGGGGATTTTCCTGACAGCCTTTTCACGCTTGCTTCCATCTTGTTCTCTAGCCAGCCCGAGGCTTGGTTTGCTGCACGCGGAGCCGCTGCTCTGAGCTGGCCATGGTAATGCTCAGGGCCTTTCCCAAACGCTTCGCCCACGGTGCCCACGGTCAGGTTTATGAGGGGTTCATGGGGTTCCCTCCAGGGTGCGTTACCTGGCAGTGCAGCTTAGCTGCTCCTTCCTCGCTGCCTTCTCCAGGCTCAGCTAGCTAAAAATCTGTGTCAACTGCAACCGCCACCGCCCATCACAGCCTGGAGCCCTGCGGCACCCACAGTTAGCCATGGGCCACGCTGAACATTCACCATTAGTCCTGTGCTTTGTCTGCAACCGTAACTAGTTTCCTACCCTCCGCAAGGGCCTTTCACAGTCCAAATGAATGTCACCTTTTGGTGCCAGACCCAAAGCCTGCCAGGGCTGCACTCGGCCCAGTCCTCTCCCGTTACTCAGTGCCTGCGCGGCGCCATGGGGCAGGCAGGGGAGACGTGCTGAAGTCCAGTTGTGCCCAGTGCTACAGCACGGCTCAGAATGCTGCTTCCTGGAAGGTCTCCAGCCCTTGCTGCTGGGCATGGGGCAACTAGCCCAGCTCAATGTCTGACCAGCCTCTACGCCCACCCTGCACGCGTCCAGCTAGGGCTGGTTCCACTGCAAAGCTGGGAGCTTTAGGACACAATAGACCCAGAATGCCAGGCCAGCGCCCACTCACGGGCCCTTTACCTCTGCCCCCAGGTGCCAGGAGGAGCTGCAGGAATAGACCTGGGTAATAGACAAACACTGCCAGGGATGGTGCAGGAAATCTTAACACGGCCTCAGCCCAGGGCGCTGGACTCTGCCCTCGCAAGGTCTCTCCTCACCATGCGTTGCTGTGACACCTCCAAGGGCAGCAGCATGTGCCTCAGGCCCCCACTGCCAGAGCCCTGACAGCACCACCTCTCCCCAGAGCCGCAGCCACACCCAGGGGCCTGACTGGTGACCTGACTGGTTTGCAACATCTGCCTGGAGCTGCAGGCTGCACCTGGAGAGGAAACGCTTGGGCACATACTGGCTGGAGAAGTGTCTCTGCAAGGCTGCAACAGGGTTTAACCCTGCCACCCTGGCCCTTGTGCCTCACCTCTGCAGGGAGGAGAGTGACCTGGTCTGAGGTGGGCGGGGAGGTACTGCTCCACCAATGCTTTCCCACAGTGGCTTCTGAAAGACCAGCAGCTGGGCCTGACTGTTGGTGGCAGGTGGCCTGGGCTGGCTTTGCTCTCTGAGGGGGAGGGAAGAGGGGCTGGCTCCCCGGGCTGAGGGAAGCCCCCTTGCCCTGACTCACTGCCGTGGATTGAGAGGGGCCTGTTGCTGCCTGTTCACATTAGAAATTCCTCCAGTGCTGACAGCTCTGATTGCATTCCTGCGTGCACGCCGGCCAGGACAGGGGCGTTCCTTGGCGCTGGCGCTGCCAAGGGCGTGAAGCTGCAGAGCGAGTAGCCAAGGCCCCGCAGGCGGCAGAGTGCAGCAAGAGGGGCTGGAAGTGCTCATCTGAGGCAGGGACACCGTGAGATGGGGAGGGCAGGCAGTTAGTGCATGGTGCTGCACCTACCGTAGGGCAGCAGCTCCCTCCCCCTCACTCGCTCCTGGGGAGCTGCACCCAGGCTCCTCCAGGCCTCAACCGCTGGTGCTGGCAGGAGGGCCAGGGTGACAAAACACAGTGCCTCTGAGTGTGTGGAGGTGCTAGTGGAGAGCCCTAGCGTCATGTTACCTGTAACCCCGGTGCTGCACCGCCTGCACCCCCCTTATCCGGGGCTCGGCTTTCGGGGCCATGTGAGGGTTTCCTCCAGCTGCTCTCGCATTCTTAGGCTCCACATGGAAAAGGAGCTCCTAGGCGACAGCTGGCAGGGGAGGCTGTTTGCACTACACAGCCCTCGTTTGTTCTGCCCTGTGGCACCTCTCCCAGGATGCCTGGACGCAGCGCTGTGGCTGCCCCAAGGAGAATGCCAGGGCCTGTTTCCCTCCGATTTAGCCAACCGGGCTGCAGCTCTGGCGTGAGCTCCTGGTGCTACTTGCAGGACAGAAGCTCGTCTGCTGTGGACTCAGACAGCCTGACGTCAGCCAGCGCCCACATGCCAGTTTCTGCAGTGCAGCCCCCTGGGTGGGTGGGTGGGGGGGGGATGCTTGCTGGGGAACCATGCATGGCCTGGCACTAGCATGGCATGTTCTCAGGCACTGCCACAGCCCCCAGCACCCGAGGGCTGAAGTTCCAACTCTGTGCCTCGTGCTGCCCTGTGCTCAGCTTGCGAGGCCGATAGGTCTCGGGATGCCTGTAATGGGCCCTTTCCCAGGGCAAGACATTCATCCACCTCTCTTGGTGCCGCTTGCCTCCCAGGCATACATGTGGTAACCCCAGAGCTCAGCACCCCACCCCTGCAGGTCCCCTGCTACCCCGTGCTGCAGCTTACCCTGCGCTCCCTCCTTTGCAGCCGGCTTGGGAGTGACCATTCAGGGAGTGACGCAGGGCCCTGGGCCAGGCTTAAGGCAAGCAGAGCCCCCCCCACTGCGAGTCTGTGCTTGGAGCAGGGCATGCCCCTCCTCGCACACAACCCCAGCTGGCAGGGGCCCTGCCCCTCACCCTGAGGGGAGAATGACTCACCCCCCCCTCGTCAGGCTTCTGCCTCCACGCCACCCCACCCCACCCCCGTCGCCCTGGATAACATCACTTTGGAAGTATGTGCTGCATTCTCCCACTTCCCATTAGCGGGGGGTGGGGGGGGGAGCATTGCTGCAGCCTCCGGCCCCCAAGCTCCCTGCTACTAGAATTACTGATCCAGCGTGAAACCGCAGCGGACGGGCTCCCGCTCCCTTTGGAAAGGAACCGCACACTTGGCTGACGTCAGCGCTCTGATTACATTCCCGTCTGCCTCACTCCGCATCACCTTCCAGCACAGACGCCAGCTGGGGGCAGGCTGGCGCTAGGCTGTGTGCCGGGAAGGCACTACGGAGCTATCCGGAGTGGGAATTCCCTGGCACCACCTGGTCCCAGCCTGCCCCAGGGGCCTGCCCCGGACTCTCCCAGCTCCCCGTGGAGACACCGGCCTCCAGGTCATGGCTGGAAAGAGCCGCAGCGACAGGCCGGACCTTGCCCACGGGCACACAGCGCGTCCCTGGCACTGCCGAGCTGGATCCCAGCCATCCTGTGGCCAGGCCCCTCCGCTAACCACACTGCCGCCTGGCTGCTAGCCGCAGGCTGGCCTTTTCCTCACACGGCAGCTAACCCCCCTGTGCTGGGCCCAGCTAGAGGGGCTTGCGGCTACAGGCCAGCTCGTGGGGAGGGGGCCCCAGGCGGCCCCGTTTCACATCTCTATGGTGGGGCAGGCAGGGGGATGGGGCTGGACAGCAAATGGGCCACAACCCTCCAAACTGACTCCAGGGAAGCAGGAAACTCCCCCAAACCTCCCTAACCTGAGCAGAAGCAGGAGCTCTCGGCTTTGCGGCTACCCCCAGCCATTGATGGGCCATCAGGCTCTGGGCCTGCTCAGAGGGAACATTCAGCTACTCTTGGGCAGCCAGCCCTGACGCTTCCTCCCCTCCACACTTCTCACCAGGGCCCTTCCCCGCCTCACCTGGCCCCTCCCCAGCCCTCGCCTCTGGCCAACATCCAGCCAACCAGGGAGGGGTGGAGGAAAAAACACCAGGCAAAGGTGTAGAAAACCTGTTTCTTGTATTAAAACATCTAGAAAACGGTGGGACCCGGTGCTCTGGGAAGCGGCTCGTCGGGCTGGGGAAGGCGGGGGGGGAGCCCTGGGCTGGGAGGCAGGTACCTAGGTGGGTCGGTGCTCAGCACTTGCTCAGCCCAGGGTCCTGGGTCTGTCATTTACGAGCAGGTTGGTGCGTCCTAGCACGATGACAACACTCAGTGTGACACCCCCGAGCCCAGCCTCCCGCCTCCCTTGGATCCTTCAGGTCCCCTGCACTCAGCGTGCAGCTGCCTAGGTGAGGTAGGACCCATCCCCAAGTCCCTCCCTGGAGGGATGGGGGTTTCTGTGTTAAATGGGGAGGTATCAACGCAGGGGAGCGTGTCCTTCCT